TTTTTTTTTTTTGGGGGGGGGGGGAGAGATTGAAAAAAGAGAGTGTGTGTGTATGGGTGTAATAGGACATGTACGTCCGCAAATCTAACCTTAGTTAGATTAGTTAAATTCGATGTACCATATATATCATATATATATATATGTTTTGTATCAAATATTAAGTGTATAAATATTAAGTGTACAAATAATTATTGTAATTCTTGGCTTCCAATTAATTTTCTTTCTTTTCAAAAATTTCACTTGAATTTCAGTGTTTGCGAAATTTATAATCAAACTATATCTGCCCCCCCCCCTTGTTTCTCCCCTCCCCCCACCACTAACGTGGATTAAGAAACATTATAAAAAATTAATGAACATTTGAGAGCATTGAGTGAACAAAGCATATCTGTTGTTTAATCGATGATAGTTTATGGTTACAAAATATTGGACAACAAGATAAAGGTGTCAGAAATATTTACATCATTTTGTTATTGCTATATTGGATACATTAAAATCTATTGGTGTGCCGTCAAAAACGATCTTAGAGGTTTCCAACGCAGCAAGAAATGTCATCAGCACATAGTAGGGCTACCTTTTAGAGAATCGTTGCAGGGCGCCATCATAAATGAACAGCATAATGTCAAGATAACTTTGCAGCAATACCGTCTCCACAGAAAATAGGGACATCGATCTATGTTATAGACATCGTACGGAACTTTCCACGAACTATAGTTCAGACTATCGCCCAACTTTAGTCCAAACTATAGCCCAATGTAGTTCAAACTATCGCCCAACTTTAGTCCAAACTATAGCCCAATGTAGTTCAAACTATCGCCCAACTTAAGTCCAAACTATAGCCCAATGTAGTTCAAACTGTCGCCCAACTTTAGTCCAAACTATAGCCCAATGTAGTTCAAACTATCGCCCAACTTTAGTCCAAACTATAGCCCAATGTAGTTCAAACTATCGCCCAACTTTAGTCCAAACTATAGCCCAATGTAGTTCAAACTATCGCCCAACTTTAGTCCAAACTATAGCCCAATGTAGTTCAAACTATCGCCCAACTGTCGTTCAAAATATCGCCCAACTATAGTTCAAACTATCGCCTAAATGTAGTTCAAACTATGGCCTTATAACTATAGTTCAAACTACCCCCTAACTATAGTTTAAATTATCGCCTAACTATAGTTCGAACTATCGCAAACTAAATTTTTACAAACACTTTATGGTGAAACTTTTATTATCAATGAGGGCGTCACTGACGGGGGTGGGGCATGGTAAAGAGAAGACTTGGATATTTTTTCACGGTTATATACACGTTGAACACCCACGGGCCCAGTGGCGGAGTAAGGGGGTGGGCGTATCTGGGCTGCAGTCTTTAATTGTCATTTTTTTCAAAGTGCATATGAAAAAATTGAAAGCTTGCATATTGTCCTTTTAAACGGAAAAAAAAGAGAAGGCATTTCCTTTTTATTTTTGCCCTGGATGAGCCACTCAGGTTGAGCCTCTTGGAAGCAAGCCCGGCTTCCATTGGCACATGATCTATTAGCTTGGTGAAATGCGATGAGTATCAGAATCAGTCTGTCACTGGATGTCCAAGGTTAGCCCCTACGTTCCGTCACTGACTGGATCAATCCCTAGCTTCCATCACTGGATGACCGATCCCTAGCATCCATCACTGGATGGCAAATCCCTTGCATCAATCACTAGATGACCAATCCCTAGCATCAATCACTGGATGGCCAATCCTTAGCATCATTCACTGGATGACCAATCCCTAGCTTCCATCACTGGATGACCAATCCATAGCTTCCATCGCTGGATGACAAATTCCTAGCTTCCATCACTAGATGACCAATCCCTAGCTTCCATCACTGGATGACCAATCCATAGTTTCCATCACTAGATAACAAATCCCTAGCTTCCATCACTAGATGACGAATCCCTAGCTTCCATCACTAGATGACCGATCTCTAGCATCCATCACTGGATGGCAAATCCCTTGCATCCATCACTGGATGACCAATCCATAGCATCCATCACTGGATGACCAATCCTTAGCATCCATCACTGGATGACCAATCCCTAGCTCCCATCACTGGATGACCAATCTCTAGCATCCATCACTGGATGACCAATCCTTAGCATCCATCACTGGATGACCAATCCCTTACTTTCGTCACTGGATGACCAATCCATAGCTTCCATCGCTGGATGACAAATTCCTAGCTTCCATCACTGGATGACCAATCCATAGCTTCTATCACTAGATGACCAATCCATAGCTTCCATCACAAGATGAGCAATCCCTAGCTTCAATCACTAGATGACCAATCCCTAGCTTCCATCACTAGATGACCAATGCTTACTTGCATCGCTGGAGGACCAATTCCTAGCTTCCATCACTGGATGACCAATCCCTAACATCCATCACTGGATGACCAATCCTTAGCATCCATCACTGGATGACCAATCCTTAGCATCCATCACTGGATGACCAATCCCTAGCTTTCATCAATGGATGACCAATCCATAGCTTCCATCGCTGGATGACAAATTCCTAGCTTCCATCCCTGGATGACCAATCCATAGCTTCCATCACTAGATGACCAATCCCTAGCTTCCATCACTAGATGACCAATCCCTAGCTTCCATCACAAGATGACCAATCCCTAGCTTCCATTACTAGATGACCGATCCCTAGCATCCATCACAAGATGACCGATCTCTAGCTTCCATCACTAGATTACCAATCCCTAGCTTCAATCACTGGATGACCAATCCCTAGATTCCATCACTGGATGACCAATCCCTAGCTTCCATCACTAGATGACCAATCTCTAGCTTCCATCACTAGATGACCGATCCCTAGCAACCATCACAAGATGACCAATCCCTAGCGTCCATCACTAGATGACCAATCCCTAGCTTCCATCTTTAGATGACCAATCACTAGCTTCCATCACTAGATGACCAATCCCTAGCTTCCATCACTAGATGACCGATCCCTAGCAACCATCACAAGATGACCAATCCCTAGCTTCCATCACTGGATGACCAATCCCTAGCATCCATCACTGGATGACCAATCCCTAGCATCCATCACTGGATGACCACGGCTAGTCCTAGAATCTGTCTCCGCGTTGAGGCCGTGGTGGAGGCGTGCTCGTTTTTCACCATGTTCAAAACGAGGGTTGCGTCCAGGATGGTGTGAAGGCCGGACGAGATGGTAAAAATCTCTTTACCTCCGGTTAAAGACTTGCACGGTCGTGGATGGAACATTGATTTGAGCTGTGAACAAACATGAGAAGATGGGCCGTTAGTGAGTACATACATCAAAAGATGGGCCATTAGTGGGTACATTCGAATAGGCTGCAATGGAAGTGAAGGAATAGAAGGGAGGCACATGGCCCATTGTGTTTTTTTATGGGAAAAATTATAAACGCATGTATCAAAATGTGTTTTTAGCGATATCTTGGTTTTAACAATGGGCGTAAATCCTGACAAATTTTCATGCTCCGCCTCTGAATATACTTCAAATCTAGTAACGCTTATGGAAACTAACTGATCTGACGTTATATTTTGTGATTGATTTGTTGAACTAGGTCAACGCCCGGAATACCCCACAGGGAAGGATTTGCCAGCGTATCAAATTGTGCGTTGGGTGTGTCGGACACCTCAAAATCTGATCTCTATATTTTATATGATTAAAAATATGAACGTTCACAGTTAATTTTATTTTAAAGGGCCGACACAAACCAACATATACGTTTCACGGCTGCCCTCCTTTTCGTATACGAGCGCCCAACTGAACCGATCTTCAGATTTCAGACATACGATCTTCTGAGGGCCTCCTTTGTTTTTTTTCATCCTCGGCTGGTATACATGCACTACGAGTGACCTAGTGCGTAAAACCCATCTGAACATACATCCTGTGCTTCAACTCATCTACAACTGAAATGTTGACACCTTTTGCAGATGTATCTTACTCTGCTATTGCTATTTTTTTAAGAACAACTGATGCAATTTAAAAATAATAAAAAAAAAAATAAATAAATACAGTTGTAATCTAAAATGACATCATTGCACTTTTGTCCCTAATCACGCTCCACGTGTCCCGGGCAACCCATCCTCAACATGGGGAATTATTTTTATACTTATATAATTTTAATATAATCGAGAAAACGTTGCTGGTGTGAACAAAATAATCGATACCAACAACGGCACTCACCTGGGCTCTGAATTTCCTGTTGAACATGATGATGATGGCCGGGTTGATAACGCAGCAGAGGAACGACAACCACACGATGGTCGTGATGACGTGGCGCGGGGTCGTCGACGGCCAGCCGCCGTCCTGGTAGGTGATGTTCGTGACGGACGCGGGCAGGCAGAACAGGGCGTAGCCGCAGGTGACCACGAACAGCGACCGCATCGCCCTGGCGGTGCTCCTGTTGAACCCCCGGGCCCCCGGCACGATCCCGGGCAAAATGTCCCCGTTGGCGTTGGACGATGACGTCACCGGGAGTGGGATCACAGAGAAGATCCGGTGGTGGGATTTGACCTCCTTGATGATCTGCAAGATTGTTAGTATGATGACTGCCGCCGGTACGAAGCTGCAGATGATTTCCTTGGTCAGGTGCTGGTTCCCGTCCGGCGACTTGATCAGAATACACATGTAGTAGGCCGGGTCGTACTGGTAGGACCCCCAGGACCACAGCGGCAACATGCCCATGATGAAGCCCACGAACCAAATGCAGATCAAAATAGAAAATGACGTTTTGACAGTCAGGATGTGAGAGTATTTCAGGGGCCGACTGATGGCGACGCACCTGTCTATGCACACGGCCATCAGGCTGTACGTGCTGGAGCTGCGACCAATCGTACGCAAGCACGCGGTCGCGAGGCACGTGAGGTCCGTGAAGGGCCACCTGTCGGTGATGGCGCTGGCGGCGGCGAAGGGAATCGCGAAGACGCCGATGAAGATCTCCCCGACCGCCAACGACGCCATGAAGATGTTGGTCGGCGTCTGCAGGACGCGGCTCCGGACGATGACGCCGATCAGAACAGCGTTGAACGTAATCGTCATGGCAGAGATGAGGACGGCGCTGAAGGTGAGGAACGTACGAATGCCGGTCAGCTGGTTGAAGGGTTGGTCGTCGGTGGAGTTTTCTGTCATGACATGCTGATGGCCTCCCATGACACGTTTGGCACCTGGCGCGATGACATTTTGCAATTTTGGCTTCGTGACGCAATAATCGCAGTGTTACCTAGATATCATTCTTATATTATAAAATATTGACGTTTTCACGAGTTTTGACGTACCAAATACTGTGCGGATGCAAGAGGTCTGTCTTGGTGCCGATATATCTGACTATCATTGTGGGGGTCGAGAATCTACGTGAACCACCAGAAGATCAAAATCATTCCACACCTGCGGTCCTGTGATGAGAAAACAAATGATTCAAGTCCAGGCCCATGTACATCTGCCAGCATGGGATTTAAAACCAAAATGTGGGATTTTGTGGCGCTGGGCTGGTCAGTATTATAGAGAGCTGACACGTGATATTTTCTTTCTGTTGTTTTAAAGTTAGCCTGTCAGAGACGGGAAGTGACGTCACAAATACAGTTACGTTGAAGAGCATTTGTTCCTTAGCATATCAGAAGAACGGGCAGAACGACTCAATAAAAGGAAAGTGGTGTGGTGGTGCATCGCCTTCTTTAAGTGTTTTGTTTAAGGGGGCTCGGGGATTTTATGGACCTACAGTTTGTGTAGGGTGTAGTTTATATAGGCTGGGGTACCGCGCTATGTAAAACCATTAATACTAATAATAATAGTAGTAATTGCCTGTGGTGGGATGTAATCTGGGGTTGGTTGGTTATGGGTGAAATTTGATCAAGGATTAGAATTAGATTGGTTTGGGTTTAAGATTGATCACGGATTAAAGTGGATTTGGACCCTTGGGGATGTATTAGTCGACTTGAGGAATAATGATATATACAAGACTGGAAGATTAATGACATATACAAGACTTGAGGATTAATAACATATGCAAGACTTGAAGATTAATAACATATGCAAGACTTGAGGATTAATAACATATGCAAGACTTGAGGATTAATGAGATGTGCAAGACTTGAGGATTAATAACATATGCAAGACTTGAAGATTAATAACATATGCAAGTCTTGAGGATTAATAACATATGCAAGACTTGAGGATTAATGAGATGTGCAAGACTTGAGGATTAATAACATATGCAAGACTTGAAGATTAATAACATATGCAAGTCTTGAGGATTAATAACATATGCAAGACTTGAGGATTAATGACATATACAAGACTTGAGGATTAATAACATATGCAAGACTTGAGGATTAATGAGATGTGCAAGACTTGAGGATTAATAACATATGCAAGACTTGAGGATTAATAACATATGCAAGACTTGAGAATTAATGAGATGTGCAAGACTTGAGGATTAATGAGATGTGCAAGACTTGAGGATTAATAAGATATGCAAGACTTGAGGATTAATAACATATGCAAGACTTGAGAATTAATTAGATGTACAAGACTTGATTATTTCTGAGTTATACAATGCTGGAGGAGTTGATTTGTAAATGGGTTGCTTGGTTTAGATGTGGGCTGATCAAGTAGGATGGTCACTGCCATGCCACCAGTGCACCGACCAGTGAATGGATTGGAAGCTAAGAATAGAAGAGCGTTGGTCGTGATCAACCGAGATAGAAAGGGGTTATTTGACGTGCTCGCACGCTTAAAAGGTTCTCAAGTGGTTGAATGGAATACTATGTAGGCACGGCGTGGTTTGAAATGAAACAACCTGAGCAGCTGACACGTGGAGAAGCCGCCAAGAAGTCCCACACCCGAGAACCGCGTCTAATGCTCTCGGGGGGGGGGGGATCACCCTGGCCCTTTTACGACCCCTGATATATATACGTTCGTGTAGATATATTATATAAAGATATAGTAATTATATATATATATATATATACATTAAAAAAAATATATATAAATGCATGTTTTAAATTTTTTAAAATTTATGATCACATTTTCTGTCATTCATTCTACCCCCACCCCCCCCCTCCCCCCATCCCCAAAATGAATTAAGGGCTTACCCGGATTGATTTATTTGTCTCTTAATGCACCGGTGGTAAAAAAAAAACAACAACACACCAGGGCCCATTCTGAGATCTGCTAAAGGAAAGACAAAAAGTAAGAAACGAATAATCGTAAATCTGACAATGTTTGAATTTCAAATTATTTTTTGAACAAATAATGATATATATATATATCTATATCTATCTATTTAGAAAGGAAAATCCGAGCCGTAGATTGGGACTGAAGTACGTTGATCGTGAGTAGTTCATCTTAAGTTTCCAATAACTGGCCATGTTCAAATCGTGGTTAAAACCACGGTGACTGTGACGTCCAACTCTAAACCTAGTAACGAAAATGATGATCCTTTAAACAACAAGAGACTAGAGTACTGACGAGATCCATGGCATGAAGTGTTGGTTTAATCTCCAAAACAAATGTGTGTCACGTGTCTACAGTTGCGTGTCATGTGACCCACGTGTGCAAATAGACAGAAATAACTATTAGAATGAGTCACATATAAGGCACACATGCCACCATAAAGGGACACACTGAGGTCAAAGGAGCCCGAAGTTATTTGAGCTGACCACAACTATTTTCAAAGCCTTTTCTCCACTTGTCGTATTTTTTGTTGTTGCCGCCTAAGCTGTTTCAATTCACAACGCTGCACACTAATTACGTTTCGTACGAACCAAAAAATCGTAGATTGCAAGTCTCGGTTTGCACCACTCACCGTTTAAAAAAAAAAATATATATATAGATAATTTGAATTATTCACAACTATATTGAATTTTTCTTTGGCTTTGATGAAAATTACTAGCTACAGTAAGTCTTGTATTGCCTTTTTGAGTTTTTCGATAAAGGATGTCCCAAATAGGAATATAAATTAAGCATATAATCATAGCTCCCAGCCTCCATTAAGCATATAATCATAGCTCCCAGCATACATTAAGCTTATAATCATAGCTCCCAGCCTTCATTAAACATATAATCATATCCATTCATAGCTCCCAGCCTACATTAAGCATATAATCCTAGCTCCCAGCCTCCATTAAGCATATACTCCAAGTTCCCATCTTCATGCAAAGGAAGATGTCATTGGAGAGTACAGTCTGCTCCCGGCGACACTTATATTGGGGGGGGGGGCGACATTGTCACTTTATACAGTTTATTGTTTAATGTGTATTCTATATGGATTGTCATAAGTGGTGGCTACACATTTCTGCTACTTCACTGCTTCCAGATCCAGTAAAGAAAGCCGTCACGTGAATTTTTTACTCACACATAGCACTTTTTTTTTTTGTGGGGGAGGGGGGTGCTGTTCAGCTATTAAAGCAAATTATAACAATTCCCGTAAATGTTTATCCACATCACATCTTTGGAACCCCAAGGGTTGCACGGCCTACGCGAAGGCCCTGCCAGTGAACATGTAAATATGAGGTTACAACCTCCAAGGCCCAGCCGTACTAACGTAAACTACCAAGGAAAGAGATTCAACATGGCGTCCAATTGATGGCCTACATTGTACTTCCACTGCTAGTGATTTAGCCGCGTTGACGCCAATTACCAACCACAAGAGCATTGATCCGAAAGTAGATTGGTCTTGGTGAGACGGCAGCAGCTAGCAGACGGCACTAATTGACGGAAGCTGCTAGCAGACGGCACTAATAGACAGCAGCTGCTAGCAGACGGTCCCAATAGAGGTATTAAAATAAATTTAAAACAACAAAAGCATGTCTACCTCAGGGGTCACCAGATGAAAGAAAGTACATGTAGATATTCTTAGACTTAGAGCTTGAAAAATGTCTGATTAAAAACTCTATGCAACCTCCCTCGACAGATGACATACATATATTTGGGACCTAAGCTCTTTGGCCTCGTTGGAATATAGAGAGGGCAACTTTTAATTTTCAAAAGTTTTGAAATGTAATCTTTCACAATTTGCAAATTTAAGCAGATGGCGCTGCACATAATTCTCTATGTAACAATGTCACTAACACTACCAGATGGTGCTGTACATAATTCTCTATATAACAATGTCACTAACACTACCAGATGGTGCTGCACATAATTCTCTATGTAACAATGTCACTAACACTACCAGATGGTGCTGCACATAATTCTCTATGTAACAACGTCACTAACACTACCAGATGGTGCTGCACATAATTCTCTATGTAACAACGTCACTAACACTACCAGATGGTGCTGTACATAATTCTCTATGTAACAATGTCACTAACACTACCAGATGATGCTGTACATAATTCTCTATGTAAAAATGTCACTAACACTACCAGATGATGCTGCACATAATTCTCTATGTAACAACGTCACTAACACTACCAGATGGTGCTGTACATAATTCTCTATGTAAAAATGTCACTAACGCTACCAGATGGTGCTGCACATAATTCTCAATGTAACGATGTCACTAACACTACCAGATGGTGCTGCACATAATTCTCTATGTAACAATGTCACTAACACTACCAGATGATGCTGTACATAATTCTCTATGTAACGATGTCACTAACACTACCAGATGGTGCTGCACATAATTCTCTATGTAACATTGTCACTAACGCTACCAGATGGTGCTGCACATAATTCTTTATGTAACAACGTCACTAACACTACTAGATGGTGCTGTACATAATTCTCAATGTAACGATGTCACTAACACTACCAGATGGTGCTGTACATAATTCTCTATGTAACAACGTCACTAACACTACCAGATGGTGCTGTACATAATTCTCTATGTAACAACGTCACTAACACTACCAGATGGTGCTGTACATAATTATCTATGTAATAATTTCACTAACACTACCAGATGGTGCTGTACATAATTCTCTATGTAACAATGTCACTAACACTACCAGATGGTGCTGTACATAATTCTCTATGTAAAATGTCACGGACGCTACCAGATGGTGCTGTACATAATTCTCTATGTAAC